CCTGAAATAAGCTCGATGACTGCACAAATCCCAGTACAAAAGAACAAATGGTCCCTCCGAGGGTGTGGCACAAGGCTGGGCAGTGTTTAACAAGCTACTGGCTACCGCCCTGCCGTAGGTCATGCGCTCAAGGAGGGCCCACAATAAAGAGGCCTGCACTTCGGTACAAATAGCTGTGGGTTGGGGGTTTCCTTGACATCCTTTTTTCATTAAGGGCCAGGATTTTACACATCCCATCTGAGTGGTCCTAAAACCAGCCTCTTCTTTCTTGATCTGGATCCAACAACTGGATCCTTGCCTCAGTTTCTCTGGTGACAGAGTCTCAAGGTGGGCCCAGGCCACACGCCCACTGGGCAGGTCAACCTCTGGCACGACTCGACCATAATCACCTCCCATTATTTTGGGCAGGGGTGAGTTCAGGCACTGAGGACTCAGAAGGCATGTGAGGCTGAAGGTCCGTACTGTGGGCCCTAACCCACCGGCTGGGGCCAGGATCTGCCTGAGGAATGTCGCCCCACCTTGACTAGTACTTGGCAGAGTAAATGACCTTCATGGGTCTGGAGACCCGGGTGCAGCAGCTCAGGAATGTGCCAGGGACCTCCCTCCTGATCTTGGGGGATGGGCGAGGGCCCTCTCCTCTCTGTATCCCTTAAGGATGTTACAGCCTCTTCTCTCAGGGAGGCAGCTGTGGTATACTAGAAAGAGTACTGGACTTGGAATCAGGACACCTACGTTTAAAACCAGACTCTGACCCTTCCTGGCTCAAGAAAAGGCTCAGTTCCCTCATCTGCAAAGTGGGAACAATCCTTGCACTGTGTCCCACACGGTCTGGGGGCACAAGAGATTAGGAGCTTTTTTCCAGAAGTGACGGGGGTCCAGTCCGTCCGACCCTTGATGACTGGTGTGAGTTTTTTCAGGGATTGCCAGGAAGCTTCCCCCAGAAACAGACAGGTTTGTGCTAGGACGTGGCTGTGAGCTAAGATAACTCTCTCGCTCTTCCTTCCCTCCTACTTGACATTCAGTTCAGGGTTGTCCATTCCTGCTCTGCCGTGGGTGGAACCCAATGCCTTCAGTACAGTCTCCTGGATGGAAAAGGGCCCATCCCCCTGGACCTGGGGGCACGAGGGCACTGGTCTGGGCGCATGCTGTGGTGGCCTGCCTAGCTCATGGATTTCATTCTGATCACTTGCTGTCAAGGTCCAAACTGTCACCAACAGCTTTCTGAACTCACAGAACCGCCATGCTGCAGAACAGAAGGGACCTCAGCAGCCCCCATTACACCAGGCCCCATTGGTGGCCACCCAGGCCCTGGGATTTTTAAGGTGGGGGAGCCCCTTCCGACCTGGGACAGCTCTTGTGGGAGGGTTCTCGTGGTAAGGCCCAATGCTCCCGGTTCTACCCTCTGGAGTCCAAAAGAAGGAATCTCCCCCGTGACAGCGTTTCAAACACTTGAAGTTATCGAACCTAAAAGCTATGGTGTAGCTCCCCCATGTGCCTATTTCCTTACCCAATCCCCATCTGACATGAAATCAAGGCCCTCCCACCCTGACTGCCTACCCCAGGACACATCCCCGTGGCACTCCCAGGGGTCTGTGTCACTCATTTTCCCTCAGTCTACACTGTTGCCTTGTACTATTTATCTTTCTATGCACGTCTCACCTTACCTCTGGATTACCATCTCTGGGGAGGGACCAGGCATATAAGTGATTAATCTCTGCCTCCCTAGAATCGACCCGCACACGGTACATACCCGGTAAGTATTAAGTCTAAGGTTAAGCTGTCTTAATTCTGAGGCCTGGGCTCCTTCCCCTCAATGGAAACGCCTGGGAAACCTTTGAACTCCACACGACCCCGTCCCAGGGGTCCCCCAAGGCTCGGCACCCGAGCTCCGGGTGGGGAGCACTTCCACAGGCAGGCAGGGCAGGGCAGAGCAGAACCCACCTGCAGCCGTGGAAAGTTCATTGGCAAGCTTCATTTTTTCCAACTTACTTTTCTTTTTTCTGAAATTTTTCCGTTTCTTAAACTTCATGTAGACTCTTGGCCACGACTCAGTCTTCTCAATAATTGTGGCTTCTACGCGGACAAGATCCAGTCTACAACACAAGCAAACTGTATTTATCTTTCAAGACTCTTTTCTAAATTTAGTAATAACCACAACAACGATAATGAAAGCCAGCAACCGTTCACGTCTGCAAGGTTCTTGACAAAGACGACCTCACTGGATCCTCCTAAAAACCCCATGAGGCCCACACCCACCTGACAGCGAGCCTCATTAGGACTGCGCGTGGTCTGCCCAAACTTAGGGCCTGGGTAGTCTGTCCACACAGGCGTGTACAGAATCAGCATGGCACAGAGTGCGAATCCTGGCCCTGCTAATGACTATGCTATCTGACCTTGGGCAGGTCCCCCTGGTTCTCTGGGCCTCGGTTTTCCCACATCTAAAATGAGGGGCCGGAGGGCCCTTCCCCGGCTACAGAGGAAACACCGTGTGCACATGTGGATGAGGACAAATGTGCAACCTTCCCCTCCGGCTCCACAGAGAGCAGCTTACCCGAGGAGCGGCTTTCCAATCAACGTGAAGTCATCAGCACCGACCAGCAGGACCTGGAAAAGGTCAGTGGACACTCTCAGTCGTCCGCTCCCCACCGATGGGGAGCAGCGAAGACAACGTCACAAACACAGGCGGCGGCACTCAGTTTTATGCAGATCCTTGGGCACCCGCTCTTCGGCTCAGCGCTAAACTGGTCCGTCTGTGGTGAAAAACGCCCTTTCGAGACGACGCTTTGCTCGTGGCAGAGAAGAGGGGACGTCCCAGAGACCCCTCGGGGAAGGGGCTCAATGCAAGTCTTAGTCAAGACACTTAGGAGTGAGGTCCCACTTTTTAAAAGGAACATCTTTTCCTTTTAATAACCAATTTGTGCCTTCAATGCAAAGGTGGGAAAAGTGAGGATGGGGAGAAAGAGGATAAAACGTGGTTCAAGAAGAAGAAAAGATTCTCCCAAACCTGTAGATTCAAAGAAGCCTCGTCCCGCGATGGCACAGGCACCTTCTTTAGTTTGTTTTGTTTTTTGGTGAGGCGATCGGGTTAAGTGACTTGCCCAGGGTCACACAGCTAGTAAGTGTCAAGTGTCTCAGTCCAGATTTGAACTCAGGTCCTCCTGACTCCAGGGCTGGTGCTCTATCCACGGTGCCACCTAGCTGCCCCCAGCACCTTCTTTAGCAAAGAACTGGGATGGGAGGTGCTGGATATGATGAGCACCAAGGAATACAACTATAAAGGAGAGAGACAGAGTGTGTGCGCGTGTGTGTGTGCATGTGTGTGTGCGTGTGCGTGTGTGCGTGCACACATGCGCGTGCTCTGACAGCGCTGGGTCAAGAATGTGCAGGGTTTCATTCAATCAGCAAGCATTTATTAGGCACCCACCAGGTGCCAGATGCTGTGCTAAGCCCAGGGACTACAAAGAATGGCAGAAACATGGGGCAGCTAGGTGGCGCAGTAGATTAAGCATCGACCCTGCAGTCAGGAGGACCCGAGTTCAAATCCAACCTCAGACACTTGACACGTACCAGCCGTGTGACCCTGGGCAAGTCAGATAACCCTGACTGCCTCACCAAAAAAAAAAAAAAAAAAAAATCCCCTGCCCCCAAGGAGCTCCCAGTTTCATGGGGGAAGCGCCCTGCACAGGAGCCTGGATCCACAGGAGATTCTGTCAGAGGGAAGGCGCCAGCCTTCACAACGGAGCAGGGACAGAATGCCAGGTCTGTTATCACTCACAGCACCGCCAACAACACACAGATGGGCCTGTTTTCCCAAAGCCCTTCCAACGACTGCCGTCTTCCTTTTTTTAATCACCTCTGTTAATCTGGTAGGTGTGAGGCTGAATCCCAAGGTCGCTTTCAATAGTGATTTGGGGCACTTTTTAATATGGATGTTGACGGCTTGGGATTCCTTTGACAAATGCCTCCTCCTGTCCTTAGTCCATTTACCTAACTGGCGAACAACGATCATTCTTACGGATTTGAACCACTATCTTGCTATCCTGGCAATGAGACTTTTACCAGAGAAATTTGCTGCAAAGACCCCCCCCCCCTTAGCTGTTTCCTTTGTAATTTTGACTACAATACTTTTACTTGTGCACAACCTTGTCAGTTTTCTGCCATCAGAACTGCCCGTCTCACCTTCGGCACCCTCGAGTTGAAGGTACTTTCCGGTTCCTCTAGTTTGTTTGTGAGGTGACCCTGAAGACACAGCCAATAGAACTGTCCTGGTCTAAACCTCCTTTCTGCCAGACTTCCCGAAATCTCAGCTCCTCACCCCACCAGCTGGAAATCTTGGGGTTTACCAGACACTTTGCTGCTACGTTTGTTACTCGGGGCTGGCACGTGCTGTGACTGTCCTCTGGTTTTCAGCCAAATAGTCTTGGAGAGCCCTGCTTTACAGCACGGGTAACATCTGCGATAGCAAGGCTACTCTCCTTCCCACTTTTTTCATTCTTCCCCTGGAGAGCCACGTCTTTCTGTTCTTCTACATGAATTGTGTTATTATTTTTGAAGTCTTCGGTATGATACTAAAGGAAATCAATTTGGGCAGTATCATCATGTTTATCGTAACTGCCATGTCCCATAAGGAGCAACGAATACCTCTCCAATTCTTTAGGTCTGTCTGTATTTCTAGGAAGAGCATTATGCAGTCCTTGTACATGTTTAGGTAGGCTGACTCCCAAAATTTCTTATGCTTTCTGTTTTTAAGTAGAATTTCTCTTTTGAGATCTCTATGTGGGATTTTGTTGGTAAAATGAAGAAAGGCTTAATGATCTGCGTGGGCTTATTTTATATTTTGCTACTGTGTCAAAGTTATTCTTTTTTTCTGCTTTTTGGCAAGGCAATTGGGGTTAAGTGACTTGCTCAGGGTCACGCAGCTAGTAAGTGTCAAGTATCTTAGGCCGGATTTGAACTCAGGTCCTCCTGACTCCAAGGCTGGAGCTCTACCCACTGCGCCACCTAGCTGCCCCTAAAGTTATTCTTTCAATTAGTTTTCAGTTGACTTGAGTTTTGGTTTTGTTTGAAATAGAAACGTTTCAAATAGAAACTTATCTGTAAAAATCTTACGAAGAAGAATGATTATGAGCAGTATAAAGCAGAGAAAAGGAATGCAGGATTAAACCCATTTAGAGAAAACTTGACAAGACACCAGCCAAACCCCAAGTCATCCCAAGGGCATGTAAGGATGAAAATGGGGGGAGACTGCAAAAAAAGAAAAATGGAAAAGATTTACAAAAACATTTTAACGTTTAAACTGTAAAAAGGCTCTCTAAAGCAAAGTCTCTCCCATCCACACATCAGAACTGTTCAGAACTCCTTGAAGAAGTAATGATGGAAACAACTCTCTTTGATATTCCTCTCACTGACGGTAAGACATCAGGTGAGGCCTAGGGAGGAAGATGGAGGCTTGCCAAAAGCCGTCCTTGAGAAGGTGAAGCAGGAGACCAGTGCAGACTGGAAACCACGCTAGCGGACAGAGAAGGAGCACAAAAATCGGGCGTGTCCCAAGCGGAAGCTGGCGAAAGAATGGAAGCCAAGGACAACTAGGAGGGCTTTCTCCAAGTCAGCGTGGGAAAACCAGGGGACTTAAAAAGGTAGGCACTGCCTGGCGGGGATGGGAAGATCAGGCCCATGGAGAGAAGGCGCAGCTGCTGAATTCTAATTTTCCTTCTGTTTTTTCTGCCAACGACAGAACAAAAATGACTAATTGGAGGCTGACACCCCAGGGGAGCAGGGAGAGAGGACGAGAGCCCCTCCCGTCCCCCGCCCAGACGAGACGCCTGAGCCTCCCCCCACAGGCCATCTCTGGAAGAAGAGGTAAATGGCACGTGGTGGCCCTCCTTTTGGAAAGGGGAAACGAGAGTCTACAACCAAGAGGGCGGAAAGCCTGGCCCTGGCTCCTGGGAAAATACTGGGACGCCCACGGCGATGACCCGCCATGGTGCTGGTCCGCAAGGGCCACAGCAGGCTGCCCTCTGCTCTGCAAAGGGAGGCATTTAATTTAGGAAGACTAGGGCGAGCACCAGGACTGTCTTGTAGCATCTGAAGGGCTTGTAGAGGGGAGAACCCCAGGGGCTTGGGAAGAGGCACACAGAGCGCCAGGGGAGACACGCAGACTAGGGTGCTGCGCTCACCTAGTTTAGCCACGTTTCCAACAAGGCCCTTCCTGCTCTGGCCCAGCTGACCCTGCAGTGAGGCAGGTTTGGAGCCGCCCCGTGAAGGTGCACCTTGTTACCAGGGCGGGGGCAGTGGCATGGCGTCTGGCTGGGCTGGAAGGAGGAGCACACTGTGGGCACGGAAGGACCTGCTGGGCCAAATCCAAGAAGATAACACTGGAAAGGCTGAACGCGCATCTCCATTCAGTAAATGTTTATAAAGGGGAAAGCCTGAGCTGCCTGGGGGGTCATATTCTGTTCTGGGCACCCCGCTTCAACAAGGTTTTTAATAAGACGGTTACTGTGCCTGGAAGGGTAAGCAGGATGGTGAAGGGCCACGGGGCCCCGGCACAGGAGGACAAATGGAAGGACCGGGGGACGTTAAGCTCAGAGAAGGCTCAAGGGGAACACTGTGTGACTGGATCCCAGCACCCGAAGGGTATTCGTAGGGGAGATGCCCCGGGGAGACGCAGCCTGCACCAGCTCCTGAAAGCTCTGCAGCCGCAGCCCTGGAAAGCCAGGAAGGAAAGCTCTCCCCCACAGTCCTGGGCTCAAGAGGGGAAGCAAGGGGCTGCTGCCACAGGTGGTCTTTCTAGGTCTCGGCCTCTGCTCCTCCGTCTGCCGCTGAAACAGCCTGGCTAAGGGGGAGGCTGGCTCTGGTACAAGGGCCCCGGCAGCCTAGGAAGACAGGCCTTGTCAAGCCTGGGGTAAAGCCAGGCCCTCCTGGCCGGGGCTGCAAGTCCTTGCACTCACCTTCTCCATTCGAATCCTCTCTCCGCATTTGGCTTCCAAGGTGTTCTCGATCAGAATCAGGTCCCCGTCGGTCACCTTCCACTGCCGGCTGGCAAAGTGGACCACCGCGAAGAGCCGGCCATACTGTCCGGCAGCGATCAGCTCGTTCACCCGCTGAAGAACTTCTGAAAGTGAACAAACAGAGGTGCAGAGCCTTGGTTAGTCCCCAGGGAACAGATGCCGCAGCGTGACCCTGGGAAGGGTGGCGTCGAAGGTAAGGCTTTTAACAGTGATGGCGACAATGACGATGCTAAGAAGGCCAGCGCTCTACAAACAGGATCTTGTTATATCCCCACAACCTCCTTGGGAGGCAGGTGCTGCAAGGATCCCCATTTTACAGATGAAGAAATTGAGGCTGGCTGAGCCAGAGTGACTTGCCTAGGGTCCCACAGTTACTATCTCTCTATGGCTACATTTGAACTCGGGTCTTCCCAACTCCAGGTCTGGTGCTCTGGGCACTGTGCCACGTAGAGACCCTTCTTTCTGAAAATGAAGACAGGGGCCTATGCGCTGGGTCTCTGACCATCCACACGAATCCCTCTAACACCTCAGCCCACGGGCATGGGCTCTGTGTCCCCTCCTGTACTTCTGTCGCACCACCATCACGGGCCACTAGGAGGCGCCACCATGAACCTGGTGCCGGGACTGCCTGCGGTCAGCACTGCAGGCCATCTTAGGACTCAGAAAACTTAATAGTTGTGGGACTCTGGGCAAGTCACTTCACCACTGCCTGCCTCAGTTTCTTCAACTGCAAAATGGTGACTTCCCTTGCAGGGTTGCTGTGAATGAGATGTCTGCCAAAGTGCTTACTTAGCACAGTGCCTGGTACACGGGGGCCACTTATCCCCTCCCACCATTATTTTCTCTTTTTATGTGAGGCATTTGGGGTTAAGTGACTTGCCCAGAGTCACACGGCCAGCGAGTGTTATGTATCTGAGGCCGGATTTGAACTCAGATCCTCCTGACTCCAGGGCCACTGCTCTACCCACTGCACCACCGAGCTGCCCTTTATCCCCATGGTTTTAATGAGAACTTGAGCAACTGTCAGCAGGTAGAAAACAGCACGTCCATTAAATGAACCCCACCCATGAATCAACCTGGTGGACCATGCAGTGCCTGGGAGGTCACTGTAGAAACTCTGAACTGTGGATGAAAGCCCAGATTTTGCTGGAATCTTTTCATAATTCTCAAGAAATCTATAACAGAGGATTCAGGTCTTTCAGAACGAAACACAGCTATTCCGGAGCTGGTGTGGCCCCCGAAGGGTGTCTCTGACTCCAGCAGCACCTCCTCCTCCTGCCTGGGGGTGGAAAGCACAGGGCTGAGCCCTAGGACCCAAGATGGGTCCCCAGGGAGCCTCGGGTAAGTCACTGGCTTTCTGAATGTCCCACCTGCCTCATCTCGGAAAAGCAGGCATGGGATTAGACCACAGCTTCCATAGGATTGCAGAGGAAACCAAAAATTAGTGAGAATAAAGAGGCAATTTTCTCTCCTATCCAAGTCCTCAAAACCCTATTCACCAGCTACAATCCTGCCTGGAATTTTCTCCCTCCTTACCTTCGCCTCTTGGCTTCCGTCACATTCCTGAGAAAATCCTGTCTTCTGTAAGAAGCCTTTCCTGACCCCCAGCAGTGCTGGTGCCTTCCCTCTGTGGAAGATTTCTGATTCTGATCCCATCTGTGACTCATTTGTACACAGATGCCTGCAGGCTATCTCCCATGTTAGACTGGGAGCTCCCTGAGGGCAGGGACTGGCTTTTGCCTTTCTTTGTATCCCCAGCACTGTGCCTGGCACATAGTAGGTGCTTAAATGTTTGCTGACTTGACTGAAAACTATCATGAAGCCTGGACTCTACCTTCACACCCCCTGAATTAGATGATCTATCTGTAATCTGCAGGTTTCTAAAGGCTTCTCAACTTCTAGTGAGAAATTTGATTATTAAGAATGTGCATGTAAATTTTTCTTCACACACTGAGAACGGTCTGGCTTTCCTGTGGACATGGGTGGGTCACTCATGATATATAGATTACAATGAAAATGTGACCAATGTCATTTGTATTTTCTGAAGGAAATGAGCAAAGCTTGGGTGAGTTTGGACACTGCTCTGACTGGAAATCAGAAAGCCTCGTGTAGGAGGGAAGGGCTGGTGGAGGGAGTCTGCCTGATAACGGAGACACTTACCTCGGTGATGCCTGGTCTCTTCCTTGGGATCTGGCAGTATGATTTTGGGCCACGGCGGCGAAGTCAATGACGTTTTCGGGAGGACCCTGTGGAAAACATTTGCAGTGAGGTTGATGTAGATTCCTGCCTTGAGAAACTAAGCACGTACAAAGGCAGACAAAAATTTTAGGGACTGAATGTGAATAAAAGGCCATCCTGGGCTACGCTGCCCAGAGCCAAAGCAAGCTGTGAATCTGAATTCATCAGGAATGTGAAAACAGCTGTGGTGGGGTGTGAGGGTGTGGGGGAAGGGGATAAACGGGAAGAGAAGGGGAAGGGGAAAGGGGGGAGAGAATGCGAGAGCACATGAATTCTACAGACATTCCTCTCCATGTTCTTCTCGTGCCCTCACGCAGATGCATCCCGTGGGGCCCCACATCCCTCCTCAGTGTGACTTGAGCCATATTATTTAACCAAATAAAATGCAATAAAACAGACGATACTCCATCTTAAAATAAAGCCAACGTGTAGCAGGGACCCTTCGGCACGGGTGAGTGGCCCCGGTGCTCCCACGCCAGCAGGATTCCTCTACCCAGGGACATTCCTACCCATCTGCTCACCGAGAAACAAGTGTTTTTATTTCCTAGGGGGAGCACGAGGTGAGGGGGCGACCTTTACGTCCCCAGCATCCGCAGTGGCACAGCTTCAGCTGGACCTCGGCACAATGGGGAAGAGTAAATGGAGTCTGTCACCACAGCAGCCCGGGGGGCAGAGCAGGCCAGGACTTCAGGTCAAGGATATGACGACCCACCTAGTGGCTTAAGGAACCACAGGATTGTTCTGACCTCACCGTTCCCCAATTCAACAAATCTAGCAGTTCCCCAGGGCTACGCAAATCAAGTAGAACTGTTCCCAGACCCCACGGGCTTCCCCTTTGTGCTCCCTGGGGTCCTCCTCTCTGAGGAGCAGTCCCCATTTCTCCCCCAAAGATCACCCCCCTCCTCATGTCCACCTCTGGAACCTCTGGTGTCCTTCAAGTCTATGTCCATCCTTCTACACTGGGCGTGCGTGTGTGTGTGTGTGAACTTAGGACAGATAAACATCTTTTAGAAAATATTCAGATACCATTTCAATATAACTGGTTTCCTCTGTATTTTGTTGGATGCATTTAAAAATCTGATTCTTCCACCACTAGCTGTGTGACCCTGGGCAAGTCACTTAACCCCACTGCCTTAAAAAACAAAAACCCACAACAAAAACCTGATTCTCCACCTAAGGGACAGCAGAAAGAAGGTAAGCGCCTTATGCTGTCCCACTTTATCTTCTCTCTACCCTGATATGCACATGCTATTTCCCTCAGGACATGTGGGACTGGCTCTCCTTCTGCCCGAATGAGCACACCTCTGACCCTGGCTGCCCCGAGGCTTGAGGCTCTGTCCTGGACCCTTCTCTCCCCCCATGTCGTGTTGCCTGGAGCTTATCAGCCACCCTGACTAACTAGCACCTCTCCGCAGATGATCCTCTCGTCTCTTTATCCAGCCCTAACCTCCTCTCGACCCCTGGTCTCGCGTTACTGCCCACTGGACATCTTGACCTGCATGCCCTATCGACATCTCAAACTCAACATATCTGAATACACAGGAGAGGAAATGTGAACAGCACCAAACCAAGGAAATACCCACAATCAGGAGGGAATCGTTTGTTTTCTCCAACATGCGTCTTCTTGAGCAGTAAACGCATCACCTCCTCCCTGGAGTGGTTGGTCCTGAGGATGGTGGGATCTTTACGGGCTCAGAGCCAGAGCTAGAAACACAACGTGTCCCCACCTGGGCATAGAGAGGCTATGACAGAACTCACTACTCTCTTTCTTTCCATGGTTTTTTCTGTATTTCCCCCCAGACAGCTAAGGAGACAGCATCAGATAAAGGTCTAGGGAAAAATCAGGTAATTCTGTGCACCTGAAGACACACACATGCTTTTACAAATAGTCCCTGAAGACAGATCAACAGAACCCCAGGCTCTCTACGTTACCTTTCCTGAGCAGAAGTGCTCTGGGAACTGTGACTTTGAAAAGCAGGCCAAGGATGAACTAAAAGCAAAAAAACCAGAATTACTGGTTAGAAAAGACAATCCCACAACACTGATGTGCTCACAGGGCTAGGAGCAGGAAGGAGGACGATGGCTCATCTCGGGGGCAGGGGGGGGGGCTCCGTCTTGGCCATGGAGCCCTGGCAGAGGGGCCGCAGCTGGGATTGGAACCCACTCGTCCAGCTTGGCTCCCAGCCTTGCACGCGGTAGGAACGTGACCAACCTCGGTGGAAGTGCGTGCCGCGGCCCAGGCCTCTCAGCTCTCTGACCAAGCCTTCCGTCGCTCGTTTCTGTCTCATCTAAGGAAGGTTTTGCCTTTCCTGTGGTGCTAATACCCACTCCCAAGCTAGAAACCTTCCTGTCCATCATTTTAAAACATTTTAAAATTTACATCTTTCTTTTTTTTTTTAAACATTCTTGTCACTCCTCTCCATGAAAAGCAGTCAGAGTCAGGGCCAGGCCCCCGGCCACACTCCTGTCTGAGCGTGGAGGCAGCCACAGCTCATAGGCAGCTGCAGAATGACTTAGAAACCACAAATAAACATCTGCATTGTCTGGGCTTTTATTTACCTTGCTGAACACCTCCCAATTACATTTAATCTGGTTCCTGCACCCGGGGAAGCTGGCAGTGAGTCTGACGCCACTGCCATGTGGCACACACTGGCGGTGCCAAATGGTTAAGCATTTATTATTGCCGCTAACACTTGTTTTCTCCCCAACCAAACAGTAAGTTCCAAGAGGGTGTAGCCTATGTCTATAAATTAATCCTCCACTGATTAAGCCCCTACTATGTGCTGGGAAGAGACAAAAACCAAATATCCCTTGACTTCAAGGAGCTTAAAACCCCCAGATTTTCATTGCTCTTTTTTTTTAAACCCTGAGGCTTCCCCATTTCCTTCCATCTCTCAGAACAACTCTTTAATATCAAGAAGAAGAGAAAAATAAATTTCAGCACAACCAATCACACCTCCAACTGGATCTGATGAGACTGGGGGGTGGGGGTATGCGTGTGTGTCCACGCCTATGGCCCGACCTTTGCCAGAGACTCTGGGGCGATCTCACCAACAGTTTTCCTTTCCTTGCTTGTCTGGAGACCTCCAGCCTCGGGGCTCGGCCCGTCCTCACCCTCACCTTTGCTTCCTACTTCTGAGACGGTCAGTTCGTTCACTGCGACCCTCCCACAACATGTGGGATGGAGGGGGGTGGGATGGCGGATTCCATTCCTGGAATGGAACCTCCCAAGGCGGGAAGAGAACCCCAAGGACTGGAGTCTGGGCCAGGGGTGGGGAGCCTGTGGCCTCCAGGCTACCCGTGGCCCTCTAGGTCCTCAAGCGTGGCCCCCTGAACACATCTCCTTCATAAAAGGATTTGTCTGTACGGCCTGGACTCAGTCAAAGGGCTGCAGGTTCCCCACCCCTGGTCCGCGACATGCTGAATCCAGTCAGGCCTGGCGCGGGCGGGCGTCTCAGGACACCATGCTACGTCTCAGAGCCTCGGGGGGCTTTGGGTTCCACCTCCTTGGAAACTCCCCAGGAAAAGTTCTTTGCTGCTTTCAATGCCAAACACCAGGGGAAGTGCCGGGTCAGGGGCTCAGGACCAGGCTCCCAGGGAAGCAAGAGGCCAAGGACCAGACCCGACGGAGAAGACTGGGGGGGATGGGACATCTGGAGGGTGCAGGGCAGTGAGGCTCCACTGGGAGTCCCAGGACCCGAATTCGAATCCTGCCTGGGTGGCTGGCCCCCTTTCCTCTTCTCTAAGAGGAGGGGTCCGACTCCTGCCAGCTCTAGCTCCAGGACCAGGAATCTTACGGTGGGAGGGAGCCGGCCACGACCTCGGCTCCCGTCTACCCACCCCTCCCCCTTCTCCCACCTCCGGTCCTCTGCCCTGGCCGTGCTGGACGCCAGGGATGCTCCGCCCCGCCCCCACGCTGACGTCAGCGTCTGCCTTAAAGGGGCCTCCTGAGTCCCCGCTGAGGGCAGGGACCCTCGGTAGCCAGCCTGGCATACAGCAGGCGCCTCATAAAAGCCCGAGGGACCCACCCCGAGGGGGGGCTGACCCTGACCCTGACCCTGACCCTGAAAGAACCTCGGGTTTAGGAGGCCTTGGAAAAGAGGGGTGGGGGCGGGGAGTCAGTCACTGTGCACGGATTGAGCCCCTACTGTGTGCATGGCACTGTGCCCGGGCCTCAGTTTCCCTGGCTGGAGAGCTGGGGCTCAATCAGCGCTTGTCAACCGACCGCCGACACAGAGAGAAACTGAGGCAAGCCGCGGCACGAGAGGGGGCGCCCAAGGTAAAGGGGTCAGAGGTCGGAGCCAAGACACTGACGTCCTCGATGGACTGAAGGGGAAACTGAGGCAGGCGGGGATTTAGCGGAGGACCCCGAGTTTTTCTCACCCGCTCCTGGGCTCGCCCCCAGCCCCGCCGCTGCCCCGGGGGATGCCGGGAAGCGGAGGCCGCCGGCAGCGGGGAAGAGGCGCCTCCGAGCCAGGGCAACGAAGGAGGCCCGAGCCGCCGCCGCCGCCGCCATCTCGCTCCCGCTGCCGCTTCCGCCGGGCGCCTGGGCAGCGGAAGTCGCGCGGAGCTGGGGGAGGGACTTCCTGGCGGAGCACTTCCGGTGTAGGCGGGTCTTCCGGCGCAGCGGCCCGAGCTTCCGGCGCAGCGGCCCGAGCTTCCGGCGTCATGGCGGCCGTGGAGAGCTTCGTGAGCCGCCAGCTGGAGCTGCTGGAGCAGGAGCGGGAGGCGGAGCTGCAGGAGAAGAGGTAGCGGCCCGGGCCCCCCCCCCCCCCCCCCCCCCCCCCCCCCCCCCCCCCCCCC